TCTCTCTCTCTCTCTCTCTCTCTCTCTCTCTCTCTCTCTCTCTCTCTCTCTCTCTCTCTCTCTCTCTCTCTCTCTCTGGGTGCCTTGGCCAAGTTGGTTGAGGCTACGGGTGATTCGAATCTGCGATGTCTGCTGCAGATGTTTAGCATGGGGTTCCCGAGGAAAGGGCGGGGGGTGACGGGTAACTGGGGTTCGGGGGGATGAGGACAGCGGGTATGGGTAGGTGGGAATGGATCGGTGATAGCGAATAGGGGCAAAGACTGGCAATGGGAAAAGGTAAGGTAGGTCATGAGGAATCGGCCCAGAGAAGGGGGCCAAACGGGATAGATTCCAGGCTGGGGCCTCGTGACGTATCAGGGAAACGGGGGTACGAGTGCGGTCTTGAAGCCTGGCGGCCAGACCAGGGGACTTCTTGAAATCGTGTTTCTTAAAATCTTAATCTTCTTGAAGTCGGTCAACCCTGTAGTCGGGAAAGGGGACCAGTGGGGAGACGTGCCAGGGTACAAGTACGGCAGCAGGGCCACGACTGTCGTGAGCTGAGGGATTTTAGACCCTACCTCCTGACGAGTGTGAACGTAGTCGGCCGAAACCAGTCGAGGATGCTACGAGGTCAGGGAGGAGTAGTGGCGATGGCAGGGCTATGGTGGAGCAGGGTGAAAGGAAAGGGAAAGGAAGCTATGAGAGATTTATATGTACTTTTGATTATATATCTTTTGGTAAAAAACTCTCGGGGTAAGAAAGATACTTTCATTCTGATCCTACTGTAAGCTCTCATGCTGCTGTGACTGTGTGGCCGCAGTTTTCCTGCACTCCTCGGCGGATGGTAACCGGGAGCACTGAGAACTCTACGGTGGCTATGTCTACATTGGGTTTTGAGGACTGACGAGGTAAAGTTACGACGGTAAGTATAGGGATTAGGAGTGAGTTAGACACAAAGATGTACGATGGAGGACAAAACCAACACAGCGGGATGGGGGGTTACGGGAACGCTGGCAGCTACGATAATGGTTATGGCGCGAACACAGGCGGTATCGGGTACAACGGGAATACAGGTGGAGGGACGGGAGGCAATGCGGGAGGATACGCAGGGGGCGCCTCAGGCGGAAATGGCAGAATGGGGGGTAGGCAACCCCCGACGTGCTACACATGCGGCAAGCCGGGTCATTATTCCCGGGACTGTTGGATGAAACGGGGACGACAAGACGACAACGAGCTGGAAGAGATAAGACAACAACATAGGATGATGATGCAGGAGAGACCTGAGGAGGAAGAGAGAAGAAGGGCGGAGGAACAGAGGAGACTGCAGGAGGAGAACGAGAGAAGATGCGAGCAGGATATGGTCCGACGAACAGAGGAAATCAGACTGCAGTTAGAGGCGGGACTTGAGGAGAAGTGGCGGCAACAGACAAGGCAGGCGGTAGAAGCGGCCGCGGCGGTGAAGGCCAAAGCGGAAGAGGCAAGAGCCGGGGCGGAAGAAGCGCATGCCAAGGCGGAGGAAGCACGAGCGAAGTTTGAGAAAGCGAGAGTCGGGAAGGCAAAGATGTGCGCACGCAGGACGCGTGATACACCGTCGAGTTCGAGTAGAAAACGAACAAGACAATACGAGTCGGAGGATGTGACCTCCGAGGACTCTGAAACGGAGGATGACACCACTGACTCGGAAGAAGAGCTAAGGAGGACTATTGAACGTTTGAAGAAGGAGAAAAGAGCACGGAAGTCGGGGAAGGGGGGAAGATTGAAGAAGCGGGAGAATTTAGCAAAGGAGAAAACACCTTTCAAGACACCTGACAAGAATGTTCGAAAGGGAAGGCACAAATGAGGAGTAATCACGAGGACATGGAAGACGTTTTGAGAAATACGAACGATATTGGGGGCGGGTTCGAGGAACCTTGGGACGATGATAATCAATGTGGGGGATCACCAAGGGCGCGGGGGCTGAGGTTCGATATACCGAGGGGTAATGGCGAGATGCGTGAGGATGAGCCAAAGACGCCGATGGAAAACGGATACAAGGGTCTGGCAGCGAAGTGTTCTAGGGAAGGTATAATAGACTACTGTCTTTTGACACAGAAAATTATGTCCGCTAAGAAGGCAACGATGCTGCAAAGGAGTGTCAAAGGAAGGGCATCAAATATATGAGGAAACCCGAGATTATTGATGTTTTGGCTAGGGAGCAAGTGAAGCTTGTGTACGAAGGTTTTGCGGATTTGGAGACGCAACTAGGCAATGAGGAGAGGGCGGAAGTGAATCTGGGGGAGGATATTGCGAGATCCGAGAAAAGAGGAACGAGATCGTCAGTTCAGTCAGCACCGGCGAGAGTAACTTTGAGATCGGCGAAGAAACAGAAAGCGCAGGAGTCGGACTGACTACCTGCGCCCCCTACGACCGTAACACTATCGGAAACACTGAAAGACCATATGAGGTTACGCCGTTACGGTCATCCCTCTGGGGGCAGGGACGGAGCAGCGAGCAGCTGGCGGCCATTGAGCGCGTGATCACGACGACTACAGTTCTTCTAGCTTTGAGGGGGCAGATACATTGGCTAGCTTAGTATTTGGAGCGATCAGGGATCACCACGAGCATGTTGGATCTGAAGGAGGCCGGAGTGTACATCGTCGCGTCGCCATGGTCTAAGAAGGTCTATGTTGGTAGTACGATCCGGAATATCATGCAGAGGTGGCGCGAACATCTGAGTAACGCTGATACCGAGGTCATTGGGAGATCGCCAAAACTGTACCGGTGGATGCGCCATTATGGTGTGAACAATTTCGTGATCATCCCGGTCAGACACGCGGATGAAGAGGACGATCGGGCCTTCGAAAGACGTCTCATACAAGATTTTTCACCGTCGCTGAACACGTGCAACACGAACAACCGGGGAATGGGTAAGGATCGGAGCAAGAGGAAGGGTAAGAGGGAGAGGAAGAGGGTAAAAACACGGCAACAGGAGAAGGTGAAGAGCGCCGTAAGTTTCATGCATGAGAAAGCGAATGGATAGAGGGTATCACTGAAGACTTGGTTAGAAGAGGAGTGGAAAAAGAACGCGAAGGGCGAGAGGAGAGTGTTGTTTCACGGGGGAGAGATTTGGTCGGACGGGTGGAGAGAGATTAAGAGGTTTTTTGGGATGACGAAGGTGAGGATTAATGGGAAGGTGAAGAAACTATCCACGGCCAAGGGGGAACTACAACGGGGAGCGACGGTGGTTTTCATCGGGATTACAAAGACGACGACGACTACGGCTACGTACATGCAGGAATTGCGATGGATGCTAAAGAAACCGATATTGTTCAAGAACTTGGTGAGCTGCACCACGAATCAGCTGGTGAGAATGTACCGGGCTGCGGGGTACTTCAGGGAGAAGAAGACAAAAAATGATTTGAGGCTGAAGATCGATAGGGCCGTGAAGAAAAAGACTGGAGTGGGGATACGGAAGAGGATACAAGTGAAGGTCACGTACGATAGACAGATAGTAAAAAGAAAGGTAAGACAGGCTACTGAAGGAGTGGTGGGAGGGAAGGTGAAGGATGGAGCCGTCGCAAACCAGATTAAAGGAAGGATACGTGTTACATGGAAACGGAACAGGACAGTGGGAGAGATCTTGCATAATCATAGGAGGCATGCGCACGTCGAGGAACAACTTTGCACGTGCAGAGCGGCCGGGCTTCCGACCATAGATGGACACGTACACACACGGTTCTCAGAGTTGGGGGATGTACCAGGTCTTATGAAGAACGGCAGAAATGTGACATGCAGCTCGAAGGGATGCGCTGATCAGGATATCGTGCAAGCTATTGTCGAGGGAACGAGCCACTTGGGAGGGAGAATGGAGGATGTGAATATACCAGCCGGCGGTTTCATGAGCAAGGAAGTGGCAGGGCTACATGGCCAGGACACGTGGGATGAGGAACAGGTGATGAAATGGGGTAAGAGATTTGAAGGGCTTGTACTCGCCCCGGTGGATCATAATCAGGGCGATACGGCAGTTATCTGCCTGGTTATTTATCGGCATGCCTTTGGAAAGACCTTCGTGTGGAACAGCAACTATGAAGACGCACGGGAGAAAGAACAGGACATCCTGGAGAGGGAAAGGAAGGACTTTGAGCAAGCCAGCCTGAATAAGATTGCAGCGTGGAAGAGAGACGGGCGGATTGGGAGGGCATATGTCATTCCGAAAGATAAGGATCTCGGCCGATGGAGACCGATAGCACCGGCCACGGGCGATCCGGCGGGAGCGGCACAGCGAAAGGTGGCCAAGGCGCTGCATTACATGATGAAGCTGTTCCCGAAAAAACATACTTTTTACCTCCATTCCATTCAGGAGTTGCCGAAAAAACTAGAGACGGTGCAACAGAGATTGACGGAGAATGGGTGTACGCGAGTGGAGGGACGATGTTACGATATAAAGGACATGTTTACGAAGATACCGCATGATGCGGTTCGGCGATCAGTTTGGCAGTTACTCTTATGGTATGCCAACAAAGGGTGGAGGCAGGTTAAGGTGTCTAGGAGAGGAAAGATGTGTACTTTGAGCAAGACTTGCAGAGCGACGGATGGCTACGTGGGGATCCGCTTCGAGAGCATGTTTGCGATGGTTGAGTACGATCTCAACAATGCGTATGTGAAATGTGGGCAAGTGGTGAGGAGGCAGATCTCCGGAATCCCCATGGGGAAATGTACTAGCCCGATCCTGGCTACGATTACTTGTGCCATGGCAGAGTTCAATATGCTAAAAGGGCTGGGCTCGGATCGGAAGTTGGTCGAGGGATGGAGGATCGTCGATGACATCACGGTGGTGGTGGGCAGGAAGGAGGCAGAAAGGGGGCCGAATGAAGGTGTTTTTGAGAAGCTGGAGACCAGCTATGATGGAAATCTGACTTTGGTCAGAAAGGATGGAGGGAAAGATTGGTGGCATTTTCTGGGCGGATCGTTCTACCTGCAGCAACAACCCGTGAGACTGACGTTCGTCCCAGGAACGAAGAACATGGTGGCACTACGGGAGACAGCCAGCATCAGATATCAGACGATGCAGGACTATGCATCGTATTCAGAAAAGAGGTTGAAGAAGTCAACCCTGGCAGCTACCATGAAGCGATTGTGGTGCTCGACATCATGCCAAGTCTTGGTCATTGGCTCCATAGCCTATACTATGTGGGAGACATACCTCCGGGGCTATGCCCCGAAGGTCTCTCTAGGTGCCTTGGCCAAGTTGGTCGAAGCTACGGGTGATTCGAATCTGCGATGTCTGCTGCAGATGTTTAGCATGGGGTTCCTGTGGAAAGTGCGGGGGGTGACGGGTAACAGGGGTCCGGGGAAACGAGGACAGCGGGTATGGGTAGGTGGGAATGAATAACGGGTACCAGGGTAGGTAGAGACGGTGATCGCGAATAGGGGCAAATACTGGCAATAGGAAAAGGTAAGGTAGGTCATGAGGAATCGGCCCAGAGAAGGGGGCCTCATGACGTATCAGGGAAATGGTGGTACGACTGCGGCCAGACCTGGGGACTTCTTGAAATCGCGTTTTCTTAAATCTTAATCTTCTTGAAGTCGGTCAACCCGGTAGTCGGGAAAGGGGACCGGTGGGGAGACGTGCCAGGGTACAAGTACGGCAGCATGGCCAAGGCTGCCGTGAGCTGAGGGATTTTAGATCCCACCTCCTGACGAGTCCGAACTCACTCGGACAAAACCGGTCTAGGATACTACGAGCTCAGGGAGGAGTAATGGCGATGGCAGCGCTATGGTGGAGCAGGGTGAAAGGAAAGGGGAAGGAATGGGAGAGGGAAGCTATGAGAGCTTTATATGTACTTGTGATTGTATATCTTTTGGTAAAAAGCTCTCGGGGTAAGAAA